CCCCAAAACCCCAAAACCCCAAAACCCCAAAACCCCATTTTATAAAACTTAGATTGCAAAAATGAAAATAATTATTTCTCTGTCAAGACTCTGTATCCATTCCAGTCTGGTGGAGCTTTGAAATCGTGGCTTTTCATGTAATTCAGAATCAACAACGTTGGTGCATCATTATCAATCAATTTACCTTCAATTGAATTTAAGCACTCTTGTGATTTCATCCAGTCACCTTCAATATAAAGGTCAAATCCCTTTTTGAATGTCTCAAAGAACTCTTTAGAATATGGGGACCTCAGCTTTTTGATGTCTTCATCAAGTTCAAACTTCTCACTCACTTGGATCTGATTACTCATTGCAGCTTGTTTGTACCTGTTTCTTTCGATCCTTCCTCTAACTTTCTTCATCTTTTTATCTTGACTCTTATTTTTCTGTCTTTTTGGAAATTCTACTTCAATAAGAGATTCCCGGACGTCGCAGGTTACCATTTCGATAGGCTCGTTTGAACCTTTGACAGTGACAATATCGATAACTCTCATTTTTGTTTGGGTTCTTGGTGTGCATATCTTCCTAAGATTTCCAGAAATCAGCAGAGGAACACCGAATTGCTTTGTAGCAGCTTCTAGTCTACTAGCAGTATTGACATTTGGACTTAAATAACTAGCATCAATTTTGAAATCAGAACCAATAGCTCCCTCAATTGCCCATCCAACATGAAGCCCATATCCCAATTTTACTTGGAAGTTGGGCAGCTTCGCTAAAATTTTCTCATTGTGGCTATATTTTTCTAGTTTGTGACTTTTGCGGATCTCAGCAATAATTTTCAAGAAAGATACCACACTCATATCAGCATATTGAGCATTTCGCCCATTTTTCTTGGTGACTAACTCTCCTTTGTCATTCTCCTCAACATCCTCAGCATTGAATTTCCATACTAGTAAGAAGGCGTCTCCAATATTCTTATTGGCAGCTCCAGAATACCAATCAACAACACTATGAACAATATCAGCAACTTCATTTACAAAAAGCATGACTTCTTCCTGCAAGACCTCAGTGGCATCAGTAAAGTTTCTGATATCACAGAATCCAAAGATAGCTACAACTTTGTTATTGGAGCCACCTCCTTCCTTAGCCATGCTATCAGCAATAATCTTAGCTCCTGCCTCTCCAAATCCAATGGCTAATAATGCACCAATCTTTATAATGGTTTGTTCAATTTTGACTGTCTCATATTCCATATTCTTCGGTCGTTTCCTTAGCTTCTTATGATTCTTCTTCATTTTCATCATTGCTCTCTCATATGCAAGGGCCTCGTTCTCTTCTTCCTGAGCTGCTTCCAAAGGATTCTTGGCAATTCGGTTTACTTTAGAAATCATTCCTTCAATAGGCCTGATCACCAGGAAAGTGGCATCTCTTGAAAAGAAGATAGCTCCAAGACCTAGAACACAGCAAACAAAAATTGTTCTAGCAATTCCTAATCCTGCTGTTAGACGGACAGTATACGTAAAATCAAAAACAGCTACAGCTCCTCCCTTTTCAGTTTTGACAAGTTCTAGCTCATATCCTCTGAAATCGTCCAGCTTTGTAGAGGGATCATTGAATATTTTATAATCTTTAGGAATTGTCATGCTCCCATTTATGTACACATTGGTGACAGGCATAGGAATATCCTGATGCTCTTTGACATAATTCGTGAAGAACGAAATATACGTCGGAGAGTTTTGGTCAGAGTATTTTTCTACAAGATCTAGACCATATTCAAAATAAACATTCTCTTCCTTATATGTATTTATTGTGAACAAAGGCACACAGAGAAGCATTACAATGACAAGGACTAACACTCTCCTGGTTGTCAAGTCTGATAACTTCTTACCAACCTGACTTTCCTCTTGCTCTCCCTTCATTCTTTTCCGTAGTCTTTCTTGGTGATTATCATACATAGAGTCTTGAACAAAAGTGAGAAAGCCGTGAGCATGTCTGTACATCTTAAATATTCTTATCAACCTTATCAGGCGGATGATTCTAGTGACTCTCGATATTCTAGTACCTTCTCTCAGGCTATCTCCTTTTAAGGCAGCTGCATATGCAGTTTCTGCATTACTGTAATCTCCTTCTGAATTTCCCAGCATAGCATACCATAACCATCCAATATCGAAGAAAAATAGACTAAAAGTGCATGCGATATCTACAACTAGATAAAAACTAGGGAAATAGTCATTTGTAAATTTTATACTCATACCAATGTCAAGGCAAAAGACTAAAATACATAAAATAGCAAGAGTGTAGAATAGTGGATCAATACTTTTAGGGCCAAGGTTTCTAAAGTCATCCCCGATCATAGTCCAGCCAGTGACCACAAGCATGTAACAACTGAACCATCTGCTTTTAAAAGCTTTAACAATCTTTTCCTTCTTCGAAAGTTTCTTCCTCCCTCCATAATAAGGATCAGCAGAGTTAGTGGTGAAGTTTTTGCTAGTAAAATAAGCATTCTTCTTTGAAGAGAGCCCACTAGCTCTATCACCTTTATTTTTCTCATGAGTGAGCTTTCTCTTTTCACTATCCTCTTCATCATCTTCTGAGTCACCCTCATCCTCATCTTGGTCAGATGATGGAGGTGCATTCTTCTTGATATTCTTCTTGGCTTTGGCAGCAGGCTCTCCCTCTTCAGATTCCTCTTCTTCTTCCTCATCTTCATAGTATTCCTCGTCATCAGAGTCACTAGATTCCTGGACTTTGACCGAGCCTTTGGCTTTACGTTTCATTCAAATATATTTATATAATCAATTATATTTTAAACAAAAGGGGTTTTGGGGTTTTGGGGTTTTGGGGTTTTGGGG